TCCATTTAGGGTACAGCATCGTGATGTGTGGAATAGTGGTTTCAGTACGAACTGACACAGTATAAACCCCTCCCCATTTCCCCAAACCTACCAATTTCCTACATTTTCCAGTTTTTCCACCCAAGACTAATCCGTGAAGGGGGGGGGGGAGGTAGTAGTACACATGAAACAGGAAAAATCACGAAAAGTCAACAACCGGGAAAAATTTTTCCCAACGCGGCAAATTTCTCTCAAAGCCACATACGACCCCCCCCCTCTCCCAACAACGACCCCTCCCTTCTCAGCGGAAAAGTACGATCACCCATGTGTTTCACAGAACGATGCTGTACTCTGATTTCACTCTCCCTAAGCTGCGGAAGGAAGGCATTGGACTGGCAGTGTGCCATGACTTTACAACAGTTTAGTTCATAGCAAAGTTGTTGTGGACGGATTTTGTAATTTTTATGTGTATTGACCTTCCGATAGATGGGGAGTGCCAATAACATCCCTAGTTCGGCTTTAACGGACGCCATTGTGAACTGCAGTGGAGGGACAGAATGCTAGATAGGGACACTCTCTACCAAATTCATCTGCACCCACCTCGAGCTCAACCAAACTTAAAACATTTTCTCATGGTAAGGCTTGGATGAGTAGAGACTGGACTTGATTGAGACTGTCCCTTTATCCCAGGAACCCTTTATGCAACAAGTCCGTTAGGCGAGCGACTTTTGTGCAATTAGGGAGGGGGTGGGTGTATCTCCCCCAAAAAGGCTTAGGAAAGAGCGCAGGCGACCAGAGCTGCCAAGAAATATCCCGCAGAGAAGATATAGTCTTCACCAAGCCTAAACCTTGATTAGAGGAAGGGATACGGGGTAAGGTATGGCGAGCGTCCCACACACCTCCACCCCTCCCCAGCCACGTCAGCGCCTTCTTTTTTCAATCTTCGAGTGTATCCCTTAGTTTCAACCTTTTGATACTACAAGGACTAGGTTTCATAAAGGCAGACGTGAAACTTATCAAACTACTCATACCTTTTTAGTACCAGACTGACTAGTACTGTGAGAGCAACCTAAATCTCCCCAGATAAGCGAGATAATCTATCTAGATCGTCCTGTTCCACCGACACTTTTTTTGTTGTGCTGACCTAATGAAACTCGTCGAGGGTCGAGGGTAGGGATTGATAAAACTTCTTACGAAGCTGTAAAATAGTACAGGTGAGCCCATATGGTTGAGGAGTTCACACTTTTTCACAAGGTGGCCTGTACGAGCCAGCTTTAGTTGGTGCCCCCACCAAACCGATCTGCGCCATATTTCATGTTTAAAAGCCATATTTCACACTTCACCCAAGCTTTTCGCTTTTTGCCGCGACGGCAGCACGATCGTTATCTCAGGTTTCACTGCGAGAGATTTATTTATCCCACGTAGGGGCAGAAGCATATTTCCCTCTGCGAATGACTTCCAAGTGACAAGAAGGGTGAACGCTTCTCGTATCCCGAGATCAGGGTCTGAATCAGGTCAGGCCAGGTGAAACTCCCCATGTACTGTTCCTAACTGTTCTGTTGAGCGATCATTGAGGCGAGGTAGTTCCCAGATCCTTTGGCTTACCGCTCCTCAGGCTTATTGACCACTGAATCACCTTCATTGATTACTAGAAGTCATCAATACACGTACCATCTGCGGCAATCAGACTTCTCTAAATGGTAGGCGTGGTAAGTTCAAAGGGGCTGAGCTAGTCTTTTCCTATGAAAGAGCGTTTCGAAACACGCAATGTGCCAATACACGACGGGGGAATTATCGTTTTGTTTTCTCCATCGAAGCTATAATGATCCCCTGCAAGTTGCAGGCAAAGTCCACGCTTGCTGTATGGGCGGAGTTAGGCCTGCCATTGTGTATTCCCCACTTTTTGCACAATATCGAAAGGCGAAGGTGCCTCCAAGAGCGATGATTCAGTTAGGCCTCAAGCCTTCCGCTAGCACGTTAGCATCGATTAAAGCAGGATCGTTGGCATGATGCCAAATCCTGAACCTTGCGCTTTGCGAAATCTTATCCGCAATAATATGGGATGTTGCATTGTGGGTATTCGATGATTCCATTCGATTTCTCTCACCTATTACACCGAAAAAAAGAGTCCAACACCCTTCCTTCCACCTTTCCATAGAAGGACGCTGCTGCTTCCATTGACCGTGCTGCAACCGCGCGCACCAGTGACCTGTAAATTGCATCGGCATTCGGGTGCCTATGAATTATTACGATTTTGATGAGGATGTCGAGTTTTAGTCTGAATATTCGCCTTTCCACGACTTTTTAAAATGCTTCTTTTCAGATATTCTTACTGACGTGGTTGGTGGAAGTGGTTCTGGCCGCAGGGGCCATCGTCGGTGGTTCAGGAGTGAAATATAGCGGTGGAAACGCGGTCGGACCATATAGAGGAGGTGGTGGTGGCCCAAGCGTTGCTGGAGTCGCCGGAGCAGCTGTAGGTCCTGGCGGAGGTGGAGAGTAAGTGCGACTATTCTCATAATGTAGTAATACCGCTGAGCACTAAATTTTCTGTCATTTCAGATGTGTGGGCGCGGCCTGCGATGGTGGGCCCGATTTCAACCCGGTACTTCTACAAGGAGTTCGTGGGTATCCTGGGCATTCGAGCTCGTCTCAATCAACGGGCCTTCCAATACGCCAGTGGACTGATCGCCACATTGCTCAACCAGGAAATAAAACGAGCACGAATCCTCCAATTGTTCAAGCTCCTCCAGGCGGGGTAAGTCACCCTATAAATAGTCCCGGATAGCTGGCCAGTGCTGGCTCTGCCCCACCAAAAAACGTCTGCGTTTGGAAGGGCTTGGAGTCGGAATTAGCTGCATTCCCAAACCGCCATCTACCGCTGTTCTGTTCTCTCCCATGCTGCCTGTCACTTTCCCCACTTTTTTTTTCTTGGCCAAATATGGATTATATTGGAAAGCACTCACATGTCACTTTTTTCCACCTGCTGAAACCGGTCGAATTCGATTCGGTTAGATTCCCAGATAAGAAACATCCGATTTCGCTCGTGATCACGACGCTGCCGAATTTTTTATGGGACATTAATCAAAGCGTCGCCCATTAAGGCGGAGTGGTGTGGCCAGAGAGGAGCAAACATCAAGGGCATCGCTACTATCCGACCGTGTTAGCCGTCCGGGTAATGGAACAAAATGAAAATTGGACTGGTAACAATCGCACATGCGAAAGGAACGCCAAGCCACAATGCCACACATGTCCTTTCATATGAAGAAACGTCTTCACCGCTAAGGTGTTCCGGGCGGGAAGTGTAGAGCTACTCCACGCCACTTCACTCTTCCCCACCCGGGACACGTTGGCGCTGAGGGGTTCGGGTCCCGTCCAAGGTCTGACTTTTGACCATAACTCAGCACTTCGTGATAACTTCTCTTCCATTAACCATGGCCTAATGTTAGAGCCTAGACTGTTAGAGTCGCGTAGGGACCAGAGCAATCGTTGTTGGGGACTCCCTAATAGGGGCAGGGCCCGTATTTGGTCTGAAAAATATTTTTTGATAGTTGGCTCTTCTTGTTTTTCAAGGAGTTGTGAAGGGGGGGGGAGTCGCTTGTTGTTGGAAGAGTTGGGGAGTGTACTTGGTGCCTTCTGAGTCGTTCTGAAGTGAGTCTTGATTTTTTCGTGGTTTTTACTGCTTCACCCCCCTCCCCCCGCTCTCGTCAGCAAACTTCATGGGAAAAACTGGGAAAATTTTCAAGAAATTCCAGGAAAAAGTCCGGAAAAGTGGTGGGGAAATGTGGTGAAGAGCTGTGGAGTGCCCCTCCCTCTAAATACGTCAGCACAGATTTTTTAACCCAGTGATGTACGAAAACACAGAACGGGGGCTTACTGCTGCAACTGCTCCTGGTACACGGCCCTTCCCAGGAATTTCCGGCGATCGGGTCGTATTTGAATCGTTGGGGTCACACTCCGCTGACGTAGAAGATATTGAAGATAGGATGTAACTTAGAGAAAGAGATTAATGTCGTTGCCTTCTCCTGCGTAAAACCGAGAACGGAGGGGGGGGTAAAACAGTCCCCTTTACTGCTTCCGCTCCCCCCCCTCCTTCTTTCTATGAGAATCCAAACGGGAGGCAACGGCAAGGGAAGGAAAGAAAAGGTGAAGCTGAACATTGACGGTAAACTGTGGTACTATACGAGGAGGCGACGGTGAAGGAATTCTCATCGCAGTGCCGGTCTCAACCAGGGTACAGTACCGAAAGAGTGAAATCGCGTTGTCAATGCTACCCCTCAATCTCACCCAAACTTTCTCCTGTGGTACGACCCACCCTTCCCCATGCTACCTGCCATCTTCCAGTTCTAACTCCTTACCGATTTTCCCAGTTTTCCAAAACTTTTTTTCAGTTTTCCCAGAGTTTCACCTAGCTGTCGAGCAGTGAGGGTTGGGAGCGGCGGGGGGGTTGTCCGAAAGTCAACAACCGGTAGAAATTTTATCGCGGCTCGGAACAGGTCCTATGAGGGCCAAATGCGACCTCCTCTACAGCGACCATAGTTTGACCCCACCGATAGGTTCTTTCAACGATCTGTTCCAGGTCCCAACTCCATTTTAGTCCTATGTCGCTGGCCTTTTCTCCTTTTCTCGTACCTGCCTCGGGGAGGTTATGTGACAAGACAATCGTAATATGCCCGCTGGTGGGCGTTGCGAGCGACGTCGCGCTCGACAGACGAGTTATCCTGCCCGACTATTCAAAAATGAGTGTCGATGGGATGGGGAAAACAATATCGTTCATTATGAAGGGTTGTCACGCTTGAATTCAAATGCTGCTCTCATCAACAAACTAATGCACATCAAAAACTTGCCGCGCTTAGCCACGACGCGCCGCGCGTGGCGACGCGGCAACTTGCGATTGTCCTGTCCATCTCTCACCCTCCAGGAAGAGAGATGGACAAACATTACCCACCAGAAGATTTTGTTTACAGCCATGTTTACCCATCATCCAGGTAAACACTATTTAATTTCAGATTGATGGCTGTATCATGATCTACAACCTGTACGTTTCACGGTATCGTTGTCCACAAAATGTCGTCATTTATCCTGCACCACCAAATCGGATCGTTTTATCGGTCCAAAATCTCGACATAGGGTGAGTGTCTTCTTTGTTGTGACATTGAGCCGTAAAAATTACAATTTTGTAGAATCACTGGTAATCTTGGAGGTCAAATAGTTATTCTATTGCCAATTGCACTCTTCGGAATCATACAGATAAACATCCATCAGGTGAGTTTTCTGAATATTTCTCGTTTTCATGGACAGTTCTGTTGTTTGCGGGGTGATGATGCGTGCGGTCGCGCGACGGCCTGTCTGCTAAATGTGATCTGAGCCAAAGTGAATCGAACTGAAAAGATTCGCCCGCGTCGCAGCTGCGCGCATCGG